GTCCGAAAAACAAAGCGTAGGTCAAAGGAAAGAAACTGGTCACAAGTCGTCGTAAAACCGAGAAAAAGAACACGTGCGTACCCACAGGCAGGAAGCGAGTTACTAAAGAACACTAAACATTCTAAAGAAACATGCTCACGCGCATCCCCCCAGCCCCCGCCCCTGCCGGCCCAGCCTTTTGTTTCCTAGAAAAGATATCGCTACCTGAACTGACGGGCCAACCGGCCTTTTACTGACAAAGGATTAAATAGTTAGTGTAAAAGAGAGGCAGAGAGTCTTTGTCATTAATTGTATTAATTCTAGTTTATTTTTAAATAAGCCTAACCGAGTTTTATGGTTGGGTTAACTTTGGCCTTGCCATGAATAATCGTCCTAAAAAAGATATCAAAGCCACGCATAACCATGTGTAATACCTTTTCAGAATCCCTATTAAATGCGCCAAAACTTGTAATACAGGGTCACTTTTCGGTAGAGTATTTTTTTTCACAGTGGGGTCCGAAGTAAATAAAAAGTTATGATTTGAGAAAAATAATAATCGTAAAACTTAACATTATCTTCAACACACCCAATAAACAACCATAAATAGCATGTCTAACGCAAGGACTCATCAGTACCAATCTAGTGAAAATTATAAAAAAAGATAGAGGATGTTTATTTTTTGGCATTCTAATAAGAATTAGTTAAAAAAAAGTCAATTTTCTCATAAAAACACAAAATAAATTATAACTCTGCAGGGGTTGACTTTAAGGACCTCCCGTAGAACAACTTTTTACAGCTGATGACCCCATCTAACCCCTAGTTGCGTTTGATCCACGACTTTTGGGCCATCCTGTATAGGTTTCGGATGGTGGCCCCTTGCGTATTTCCATTTCCGTGTGCGATAGGAGGCAGTACTCCTTTGGTTACGCCAACTCCTTTTGCAAACTAGTGATCAATTCAAATCGCTAGGTGGAGTGTTACCCTATCTAGTGGGTGTTACCAGATGAAACATGCTGGATGTCAATGTATGCAGGTCGATAATTACCATGATTTGTTCCAATCGATATGGGAGTATGTATTGAGCAGTAGACTTATGATAAGAATGTAATGTCTGTAATGATGATGACAGGAAACCTATATTGAGCAGTGAACTGTTTAAGGGTTGTTTAAAAAGCTAAATTGACAAACGATCTGACTCTTCACCTCCTTGTTAAGAGGCTATTGCAGCCTATGGACCCCTGCAGCCACTTCATAGCAAGGTACACATGCGTTGTCACCTCTGAGTACTGAGATAGATTTTTTTTGGCGCCCGAAGCAACTAAAGGGCTACCCTATACGTAGGGAGGCGGAAAATGCATTACGCATACCACGATAGCCGGTCTATCGTGGTTATGAGGGACTCACTGTCCTACCGGGGACCCTAAGTGGTACCCTCTAAAAACCACCTTTGGGGACAGGCAACCGGCTGATTAAGCTGTATTGTGCCGTATCGTGAGCGACCCTCTTTTGGGAAAAAAGGGCGCAGGCGGCTACGAGCCGCTGAGGGAGTGCCTACGAAGGCAGATTAATATTAGTTAATAGAATAATTTAATTTAATTAGAGTTGGCCTGGGCCGCCAGGAGGCAGTTCAGATCGTTAGACAGTTTATTAGGCGGGTCCGAGTGAGAGTTTCTCGGCCTGCGGACTCGATAGCGAGAGGGGGTGGGGCTGCATAAGTAGCTGCCTCACGAATAAGATGATTGGAGTGCGACTCTGAGGCTTTGAAGAAGTTCTCAGAGAGTTTTTTAAGAAATTGTTGAATTGTAGGGAGCTCTAGGTCCCGATGAAAGTCGGCATTACAGACGTACCAAGGTGCGTTCGCAGCTTGACGACAGAAAAGGTTTTGAACTATTTGGAGTTCATTAATAATTTTAGGTCGGCGTGCAAAAACGGGTCGAAATCGTCAAAAAAGTTGTTTCTGAGGGACATTTTACTGTGTCGGCCCAACATACTGTTGAGCCTACTCAGGTAAAAACGTGCGTAACGGGTTACTCTTTTGACGTGGTGCCTGAAAGTGAGCCTTGTCTAGAGTGACACCTAAATATTTGGCGGTCGTATGCCTGGGGACAGAGGTCCCTAGCATACGTATTGGTGGAGTGTTTTTGAGACGTCGTCGTTTATAATCAAAGTGAACAGCGGAGCTCCTCTCCGGGTCCACATCGATGCGCCATTTTTTGAACCAAGCTCCTAGGTCGTCAAGTGACTTTTGAATCATGTTCCGTATGAAAGGTAGCGAGATACCTTTGCAGTCTGCATTGATAGATAGCAGTGTCGTCTGCGAAGAGGGAGAGCTGAACACCATTCGACGGGATGGGAATGTCGATGGTGAACAGGATGTACAGCAGAGGAGCAAATACTGATCCCTGAGGGACACCAGCTTTGATAGGGCGCTGTGAAGATAGCGTGCCTTCGTGTCTAAAACGAAAGGTACAGGTGTACAGCTTGTAGATAAGGCCTGTATGCCAGACTCTATCAAAGGCTTTAGCTATCTCGAAAAAAACCGCGATGGTCTTATGACGACGAGGATAAAAACCGCTGAGGATATATTCCACAATACGGTGAACTTGTTGGGGACATGAGTGTTGCGCTTGGAAACCGAATTGATGGGGAATGATAAGAGGTTCACCGTCTGTAGGAAACAGATAGCGCCTCATACGAGTTTGGATGAATCTTTCGAAGAGCTTGCCCATTGCCTTGAGGAGACTAATGGGGCGATGACTGGAGGGGGAGGTTGAGAGGCTTGCCTGGCTTGGGAATACCAATCACAGTTGCCTCTTTCCACGTAGTGGGAAAGTAACTAAGGTTAAAGCAGGCGTTGAAGATAATAGATAAAAATGTTAACACCTGCTCAGGAAAGTGTTTTAGGGCCAGGTAGGGAGATGCCATCCGCGCCCGAGCCTTTTTGGGCTTAAGTCCTTTGATGAGGGATGAAATCTCATCATTGGACGCAGAGATAGGTTCGGAGGCTGTAGGGGGTGAGTTCCGGCGGCGGACCTCATCCTCCACTGCCTGGACGTGTGAGGGGTCAACGCGTTGAGAGCTAGGAGAGCATTGTGCGGCAATGCTATCTGCAAAGCACTCAGCCTTTTCCTCGTCCTCGAAGGCAACCGTACCGTCGGAACGGGAGAGAGGGGGGAGTGTGGGTGGTAGCGTCTATGCGGAGGGCTCTAGCCATCTGATAGTACGCTGTATGAGATGGAGAGATATTCTCCATGAGTTTACTCTTTTCGAGGTCTCGAAATTCAGAGAGGCGGAAACGGAGTTCTCGATGAAGACGATTGGCCGTGCGCCTATATTCGGGGGTGGGATATTTTGCTGCTCTCCGGAAAGCAGCTTTCTTGGCTTTTTAATAGGTTGCTAATATGTAGGGGAAGCCCACTATTGTTAGCAACCGGGACCACCCTTTCGTTCTCCTTAAGGGAGGATTTAATAAGGGTGGAGAGTGAATCGACCGCGGTGTCGATTTTTTCGGGACTGTCTAAGTCCGACGGTAGGGCAACAAAAAGATGGTAGAGTCCTGTGAGTCCAGAGCTTTAGCTAGGGACTCCTTGAATCCCTTCCAATTAGTGAAGGTTTTCGTGTGTGTTGGGGGAGGCGGCTGATGGCCAAGAATGAGGTAGACCGTTCGGTGATCGGATCCTAGATCGTCTAGTGTCTCGATTGCCCTGAGGTTGAGGGAAACTCCTTGGAGTAACGCAAAATCTAGTACATCGGGTGCGTGATCGGTGTTATCAGGAAAGTGATTAACATCGAGGGGACTATGGACGGTAATATAAAGAGACTGCGTGATATCGAGCAGTATCTTGCCACTATGGGAGGTAGTACGGCATGTCCATTCAGTATGCTTGGAGTTAAAATCTCCAAACATAATGACTAAATTGCCTAAAGTTAAGATAGCCTCATAATCTTTTTTGAGGGGATGGGTTCCTGAAGGGATGTAACAGGAGGCTATGAGGATGGACTGATGTCCAGTCATAGCTAGCCTGCATACCGTGGCTTCCATGTTGGTAAGCTGCGGAGTAGAAATGGGCGAGCAGTGAAGTGTCTTCCTGTAATAGATGGCCGTTCCGCCGCCTCGGCGGTCGGGTCTGTCATTACGAAGAAGAGAGAAGTTTTTAATAGAAAGGCCTTTAGTGTCCTTAGTTTTGAGATTAGTTTCCTGTAGGAGGAGGAAATCGGTTTCACGATTCCGAAGAAAGAGCTTAAGCTCTGGGAGGTTATTTCGCAAACCGCGAATATTAAAGGATACAAGCGATAAACCCTTAGGTTTGATACGACCGTGAGACTTTGTGAAGTTAAGTTAATTAAGTTAACTTAATTTACAACGAGCACAAAAGATTATGGTGCTCTGTAAGAGCTAGAAGACATTCCTGAGGGGACCGCGCAGCGCGCTATTTACGTGCTACCACCGCGATTTCACTAACGTCGATGTTCCTAATAGCGGAATACAGCGTTTTTAGGTCTTCAATAGTGGGCTGTGATTGTTGTTGTTGTGGGGCGGAGGTTGTCCGCGGTGGGTCTGCCTTATTGGGGCCCCAGGGAAAGACTGGAGGCTGCATAGGCTTTGAGAAGCCCGGAGGGGGGCCGAATAATGCCCTGAGGGGGGCCTAGGGGGACCCTGAGAGGGCCGAGAGAAGCCCTGGATGGGCTGAGAAAGGCCCTGACGGGGCCGTTGGTAGAGAGCCGGGAATGAGCGGTCATTGACCCGCGGTGGAGCTGTCTTGCTGGATCTGGTGGGGCGGTGGGCGCGACGCGCATGTGGACGTGGCAGCATGTAATTATACTGGCTGTCTATTAATCTTCGGACCGGAACATAGTAGTCCCTGTACTGCTAGATTTCTAGGCAGAAATTCTCTTAGAAACATGAGTAAAAGAACCTTGTTATTTTAATTAAATTTCATATCAAAATTTATTCACAATTATTTAAATACATCACTACCTAAACTATAATCAATTTTAAACAGATAAAAAAAAAATCGCGCTTAAATCGATACATCTTTCGTCTTGTTATTCATATACATGGTGACAGCCTTAAGTCCCTCTATGTTAGCGTGTTTTGCTAATTCTCCAGGAATGAGCAGTTCTACGGCCGACTGTATCTCTCTACTGCTTAGTGTTCTCTTCTGTGAATGGGACACCAATCTCGCCGCTTCCTCAACGATATTCTCTAACATGTTGTTCACGAAATTGTTTATTATCAGCATAGACTTTCTGGATATGCCCACATTTTTCTTCATTACGCATTTCAGTAACTTATAGATGTAAATTGAGAAGTTGTCATAGTTTCTCTTCTTGGTCTTCTTGGTTTTTGATATTGGCTTCTCTAGACATTTCTCCATGGATTTTAACGCTTTTTTTGGTCGTTTTACTGGAGCCATTATAAAATTCCTTATCTTAAATTAAACTTTTTACGAAAGTATGGGCGTTGTTTGAAACGTAGTTATATAGTTTTTAAAGGTATCGCAACTAATGCGTAATGCTACACGAATCTTATTCGTTAACCAGTAACTACGCTTACTTTCTCAACATATTTGTAAGGTGTTCTCTATTTTCTGTGACGTTAGTGCTGTTAGACTTTTGGCTTTTACAAGTTTATCGGACTAACTTTCACCTTTCAGGCCTGAGCATAATTTAAAAGTAAAGCCAAAGCAAAGAAATACTGAAATGCAAATCTAGTATTCTTTATTTTTTATAAGATTGGGTGGTGAATTTTATATAATTATTTCTTCGCACTAGTGAACCGAATTCCGAATTGCACTAGTGAACACTATGGGTTGCTATTATTTAGCTATTTCTTAATCTTTTTTTGGCTTCTCTTCATTGTTGCTACTGACTTTGTCTACTTATTCATTTTGTTGTCTTAACATACTCCATTCCTTCATTCATGACAGCCAATCTAACATCTATCAATAAAATAGGCCTTGATTAAAACTACTTTTACGGATTTTGTCGCGTTTATTTTTACTTTTTATTTACTTTTATTTTTAATTCCCGACGTTTAGCGACGCTTTCCAGCACCCATGGTCACGGGGGACTGAGACCATGGGTGCTGGAAAGCGCCCGAAACGTCGGGAATTAAAAATAAAAGTAAATAAAAAGTAAAAATAAACGCGATAAAATCCGTAAAAGTAGTTTTAATCATGTATAGTGTTCGCGTAAATATAAGAAATCAAAATAGGCCTTTTTTGTGGATTCAGATTGGAATCCACTATCCTATATCATCCCGTGTGTGTCGAAAGGCCTCTGTTCAACATTGAACTTTGGTTATTGATAGGCAGTTCATGATGATGAAATAAGTATGAATGTGTTATCCATAGGTTTAGTATAAACTTACGGTATATACTGTATATGTGGTGGTATCGAACTAAACGGACTCCTGGCTTGAACGGGATTCTTAACCTACGCACGACGTTATTAATTTAAAAAAGTAACCCAACAAATTTTCTCCTGTATCTACATGGACAAATATCCAGACCCGGAACAATTATTTGTAGGCCATAAAAATGTTTGTTACTAGCTGAATTATAATTATAACCCTCGTCCCTTATCGCCGAAACTCATTTCTAAGCTACTGGGAGCCGTCAAAATATTCAAAATAAATTTAATCTCTATAAAACAGTAACATTAAATCAATTGCATACTTATATTTTGTTAAACATCTCCTTGTTACTTTTCAAGCATAATGTAATTTTAGGAAACTTGTACTGGTGCTATTTGGGAGCATACCTATCTCCATATAGTATTGGTGAATTAAAACCATATCTTACAAATTATCGTAATATGCATGTATATTTATTACTATTTTGAAGGGTAGAATTATGTGAAATGAAACCACATTCCGGCACAATATACCCGCAATTTGTTGATATTTTAGTACAGCCACCGATTCGTATACTTTATAAAAGGCCGCATGATCTGTCGCATATCACTAAGTTCACGTGCGCCAAAATGACAGGTCGTGGTAAAAGTGGAAAGGGTCTCGGGAAAGGCGGTGCAAAACGCCACGGAAAAGTACTTAGAGACAACATCCAAGGTATAACAAAACCTGCGATAAGAAGACTGGCGAGACGTGGAGGAGTCAAAAGAATTTCCGGCCCTATATATGAAGAAACGAGAAGCGTTTTGAAAATCTTCCTCGAAAACGTCATTCGCGATGCTGTGATGCGCTGGAGAGTATGCGAAAAGAAAAACTGTGATGGCTATGGACGTTGTGTATGCATTAAAACAGCAAGGCAGCACATTATACGGTTTTGGTGGTTAATTTATTTATTAAATAAAAATTTATTATAATGTGTATCTGTGTGTTTTAATTTATTCCCGACATTGACAAGCTCCTTTTGAAGACCGCAATATTTTGTTTCCTTTGGACGTCAAATGACTCAAATTAAAACATTTTGCCACAAATAAGTAGAGATACTAACATTCTGTTACTAAACCCCATAAAAAGTGTTATAATGAATTAATTAGCACCGCGTAAATTTGTCTAGGCATTTCTTTAAAGAAATTTTTACGTCTTCAGAGTAATTTTTACATCCGCGCGTCAAACATAATTATATATAACTAAAGAATACTATGTACCTTATACGTAGGATAAGATCCTATACTTTTATGTTTATTACTAATGTAAAACACACACACACACACACTCACACGCACACATCATCATTACAGCCCTTCACAAGTTCCACAAAGCACTGTCCTGAGCCGCTCACATCCATCGACTTCCTGTATGTCTTACCAGGTCGTCACTCCATCTAGTGGGAGGTCGCCCTACACTACGCTTACCGATACGAGGCTGCCACTCGAGAATCCTTCTTCCCCATCGGTTATCGGTTCTTCGAGCTATATGGCCGGATCATTGCCACTTCAGCTTACTAATCCGTTGGGCTTTGTCGGTCACTCCGGTTCTACTGCGGATATGCTCATTTCTGAGTTTATCACGCAGAGAAACCCTGAGCATAGCCCTCTCCATAGCTCACCAAGCGACCTTCAGCGTCCTCATACGGCCAGCAGTAAAGGACCACGTCATAGATCCGTAAGTCATCACTGGCAACACGCACTGGTTGTACAATATAGTTTTCAGAGTTTGAGGTATACCTAACGAGAAGATGTGTCGTAATTTCCCGAACGCTGCCCAGCCGAGTTGAATCCGTCGACTGACCTCTCGGTCGAAGTTGGACTTACCTAGTCGGACTATTTGTCCCAGGTAAACGTACTCATCAACAACTTCGAGTGTGCACCCAACAACTACCGGCATAGGTGTGACATGGACATTAAACATGATCTTTGTTTTGTCCAGGTTCATCTTAAGACCTATCCGTTGGAAGACATAATTGAGGTCATTGAGCATAGTGCTAAGGTCTTCCAGCGATTCTGCCATAAGGTCTATATCGTCGGCAAATCAAGGGTGAGTGATGTACTCGCCATTGATGTTAATACCGTATCCTTTCCAGTCCAGTAGCTTGAAAATGTCTTCCAATGCAGCGGTGAAGAGTTTCGGGAATATAACGTAGGATAGATAAATATAGGACCATCTCTTTGCTCTTATTAAGCGTAACAATCTTCTAAGGTCGTTATAACAACATAATGCGGAGCCTTCTGCTCCCGCAAAATCACGCGGTCGTATCAAACCAAAGATTTTGTCGCTTGTTTCTTTTAATATCTACGGTTTCCGAAATAACCTCCCCGAGCTTAGGCTCTTTCTTCGATATCCCGAGGCCGACCACCTCCTCCTCCAGGAGACCCACCTCAGTTCTAAGGTCCTCAAAGGTCTCTCTATCAAAAGTTATTCGCTGTTTCGAGATGACAGATCCGAACGCAAAGGCGACGGTACTGCCATTTACTACAAAAAGTCGCTCTATTGCTCCCACATCCCCACTCCGACGCTTACCAATATGGAAGCCTCCATAAGTAGAATAGCCATGTCTGGACACCAGTCTATCATCATAGCCTCCTGCTATATCCCTAGCGAAACACTCCCTCTTAAGAGCGATTTCGAAGCCATCCTTGCATTAATTTAGTCATTATGTTTGGAGATTTTAACTCCAAGCATACTGAATGGATCTGCCTCACTACTACTAGTAGTGGCAAGGTGCTGCTGAATATCACTCTGTCTCTCGACCTGACTGTCTACAGCCCCCTAGCTGTCACCCACTATCCCGACAATGTTGACCTTGCTTCTGACGTGCTACATTTTGCTCCAGTTAAAGGAATCTCCCTTAACCTTTGAGCAATCGAGACTCTCGATGATCTAGGATCCGACCACCGTACAGTATCTCTCATTCTTGGCCATCAGCCACCTCCAACTCCCTCTTCCAAAACCTACAACTACTGGAAATGCTTCAGGAAGTCCCTAGCTATGGACTCTCCGGACCCTCCCATAGCCCTCTCTTCCGACGTCCTCGACAGAACGGGGAAAATAGATACCGCGGTCGAAAATCTCACCACACTAATAAAATCCTCCCTTAGCGAAAATGAAAGGTTTTTCCCGGTTGCTAAAACTAGTCCTCCCCTAGATATTAGCAATCTGATCAAAGCCAAAAAAGCTGCCCTCCGTAGAGCCGCACGCTCTCCCACTCCCGAATATAGACTTGCGGCCAACCGCCTTCAAAGCAAACTCCGCTACCGACTCAATGACTTTAGAGACCTCGGAAAGAGCAATCTCATGGAGAATATCTTCTCCTTTCATAAAGCGTACTACCAGATTGCGAGAGCCCTCCGGATAGACGCTATCACGCATCAACGATGAACTCGTCTCACTACCATTCCGCCAGTCAGGATGTTAGGAACCCCTGTGCCATGGCAAACAAAATTCAAATACTTAGGCGTCACCCTTGATGCAAGGCTCACTTTCGAGCTCCATATCAAGAAAGTAACTCGCACCGCGCGATTTTACATGGGTAGGCTCAACAGCATGTTGGGCAGACAGTAAAATGTCCCTCCGTAACAAGCGAACCCAATATAAGGTCTGTATACGACCCGTTATGGTCTACGCGGCCCCCATTTTTGCACATGCTAAACCCAACTTAATAAATGAACTTCAAATAGTACAAAATCTCTTCTGTCGTCGGGCTGCGAACTCACCCTATTATGTCCGTACGCCGACCTCCACCGAGACTTAGAGCGCCCTACAATTCAGCAGTTCCTCAAATCACTCTCTGAGAGATTCTTCGAAGCCTCAGAGTCCCACTCAAATCGCTTCATTCGCGAGGCAGCTGCCTATGCAGCTCCTCTTCACACTCGCTATAGTGTGTGAAGGCCGAAAACTCTCTCTCGGACCCCTACCCCAACAAGCTTTCGGCTGACCTGAACTGCCTCCTGGCGGCTCATTCCGAGCCTACTTAACACATCTCGTAATCTGCCTTAGTCAGGCACACTT